GGGAGGCTATGTCAGGTGACTGCCATAGGTGCTAATCTACCCGGGGACAGGGACCCCTGGGGCACAGTGCTCTCAGCTTCACTGTCCTCCTTGTCCCAGAGCACAGCCTCTACCAAGATGCATGGGGCTGTACAGGGGGAGGGAGCCTGGGGATCCAGCTTCTGGCCTTGTATTTGGAACTCCCTCATCCTGGTTAGACAAAAGGGCTCTTCAGGGCAGAGTCCCTGTGTTTTTTTCCACCTTCCCCAGCAACATCTAGCAGCACTTTGGGGACAAAGAATGAGGAATTCAAAGAGTAACCACAGCTGCCTCGGCCCCATACTCAGTTCCAGAGCTGTTCTCCCACTCCTCAGGCCCAGAAACCCATCCTCCATCCAGCATGCTCTGTAAAGACACAGTCTTGGCGATGAATCCTGCTGCTTCCCTGTCCTGGTGGGGAATGGGCAGGCAGCTGCATTTCAGCATGGCAGGGAGGGAGGGGCCCAGCTATGAACTTAATTTAACCCCATGAAACCTCCTTCACCCTTTGGTTCCTGCCCTGATATTTAGTGCCTTTAATAGCGAAACACACCTAGATCAACAGAGAACTCTCTCAGACAGGGTCAAACCCTACACACACCCGCAACCGCTCCCATACGCACAGTAAAGAGCAGGCAGCTGTGAGTTACAGGGCTGTAACTTCCCCCAGAGGCTACAGGGATAGAGGGAATGCTCTGCAACCTCCACCCCGAGAAAAATTAGAGCCAGTGGGTGAGGCAGTGTCTTCAGTGACTTGGATCTGATCTGGTTGGTGCCATTACCTCTCCCCCTGCATTAATGACTTCTGCCTCTGTCTTCATCCCACACTTTTCTGTCACTGTGATGCCACGTCCACCACCTTGCTATCTGCCCACCAGGTATAGCTTCAACAGCTCCCTGATCCCTAGTTCCTCCCTTTGGTGAAGGGACTGTTCATGCCTTAGACAGGGCCTTCCTTTCCACTGCATCAAGCAGCTTGGCTTCCCCAGAACCCAGTGCCCTGCTGGTGGGTTTGCTCTTCTCCTCTGTCAGCACTGGGAGCCTATTGCCAAGTGGGGGATTTTACTCCAGGTGACTTAGGGATTATTAATTGAAGCTTGCACAGTGTGCATGGACATGACATGGGGGCTGCAGGTAATGAGCACTAGTAAACACAACTCCATGAGCAATGTGCTGCCCATGACAGCAAACAAGGCTGATTATCAGGGCACAACGGGAAATGTGGGACAAACATCCTCTTACAAACCTTTTAAGAGCGCATGACTGAGAGGTAGCAGGCGGCAGATATGAGAGCAGCAGTAAAGGGCAATTTGGAGGGAGCTGCCTGGGCTCCCTCCTGGACTCCATTAGGTGAGCCCAGGCCTTGGGTCATAAACATGGTGTAGTGGATGTCGTTTATGTGTCAGCAAACACTCTGAGTGGGCTCGACTATTGATTCTGACCATATAAAAGGGTGTCGTGCCACTTGTGCAGGTTTGCGCAGGTTTTACAGCTCTTGTTCTGAGAAGGGCCCGTGTGTTTGGTTTTGCCTTCTTCCTCCAGGCCTTCTATTGACATTGGCTCTGCTAGGTAGCGTGTAGGTCCCTGGCAGGAAGCTGAGTGCACAGCTCCCCCCACACCTCCTGTTTCCCTGGAGGTTATCGGCTATAAAATCACCGACACACCCATGGCCAGATGTAGGAGGGTTTCCTGTGTGGGAGGCAGGTGAAAGGTACTAGTCACCTCTATGCTTGTTGTGTGGAGATACCTGGTACTGCACTAATAGGAGCTGGGGCTGCCAAACAGGAGGGGCTGGATTTTCAGCAGGCAGAAGCCCAGTGTATTTCAGGCCTCGTGGGCCAAGCCCTGGATGGCTAGGGACCATCCTACTCTGGGCAGACCCAAAGGATTGAGCTGAATGAGAACGGGGAGAGCTTTTCCATAATGACAATGATATAAGTAATTCCCTCGGTTTTCCATGCACAGCTCCCAGCAGCTTTGCAGATAAGGAAACAGAAGCAAAGAAAGGGGAAGTGACTTGCCTAAGGCCACCCTGAGAGTCAGTAGCAGAGGGTGCGTTTACACGAGATGCCTTAGTGTGCAGTGGACTGTTCTACTGCACATTAGTGTGCCATGCCAATGTCACAGCATCTGGCAGAGGGGCAGAGAAGGAGCTTATCCCACCACTCGCTTCACTCAGGGAGTGATCCGCAGTGGCAGCAGCGGTCAGGGCTGGTAGACCTTGGCTACAGTCCCCTGGTGGCAGAGGGGGGAATGTGTTAATGCACAGTAGAATTAATCTACTGTGCATTAAGCATCACAAAAAAAAATGTTTACCTTTGTTACTGCGCATGAGTGTAGCTACTGCACCTTTATGTAGTAGCTCATATTATAAGTACTAAACTTAATGCAAAGTAGCAAAGGTAAATTAATGAACTTGTAGACATGTCCAGTGTCGGCGAAACACTACGTATCTACTGAAACTACCTCTGTCCACTGTGTCCATGGGCTGGGGTGGAATGACTTTAGCTGCTTGGCTAGCATGAAGGCACAAGCATCCATGTTATGGCCTTGAGAGGTGCAGGAAAGGGCAGGAGAGTGAGGGTTCTGTAGGTACGGCACCAAGGGTTGGCCGAATCTGGAATGGGGCTTCCAAGAGAGGTGGTGCTCTCCCCTACCTTGGGGGTCTTTAAGAGAAGGCTAGACAAG